ACTAAAAAAGCGGAATACTGCCATTCACTAATTTCAGTTTGCGATTTTTTGAAATGATTTCATTGCCGCTACATTTTAATATGACTTGTAAAAATCAAAATAAATTTCGAAAACACACCACCCTTTAAAATCTCTTAACCATATCGGAAGTAATGGCCACATTTTAAACTGAGGTACTGAAGGCCTAAAAGACTTTATTAGCATTATCGCCTCTGAAAGTACTGGGAATTATCAGTCCCAGTTGAAGTCCAGCTTTCTGAAGTCAAAATTTTTCATAGGATGCAAGGCATGAAAAAATACAGGTTAGGTCCCAAGTGAAAAAAATAATCGAGCCCGACTCCACTGCTTAAAGCGTGTGTGTCAAGCATGCCGGACGCTAGGTAGTACTGTATACCCGCAACGACTACACCAAGACAAAAACCGGTACTCGAACGATATGGCTTTAAATATGGAGACAGGCTATCTTAAAATTATATTTCGCAAGAAAAATGGAGCTCAATAGATGGTTCGAGAAATGATCCGAGATAAGGCTTGAAATCACTACTGAAATTTTGAGGTTATCGCCTCTCCTAATGGGGAGGATTCTTCGAATTTAGACTTAACTATTAAGGGCATGATTAGAATGCAAGCTGCACGATTGCAATTGCAATCCACCAACCGATTACGAAACCAATAAAACTCCTGGAAAAAATAGTTTACTAGCTGAATGCTGTCCAGCGTAATTTCACAACACATCCGCAGAGATTATATTCGTTGATGTGAGAGAGAGAGCAAATTCTATGTATTTATAACAAGGGAATTCTATTTTCAATTTCCAAGAAAGGCCAACTATTGAGGAATTATTCATATTAAATATCTCAATCTCATATTTCTGAGGCTTATTTCCCATCGGTCGAACAGACTCATGGTAGCGCGGATGCTAAGCCGGATTTAGACTAGAACCTGGTTGTGCTGACAAGATTTTTACGCTGAGAAGAACATCGTTTGTAGTATCGACAACGTCTCGTCATATGGTTCATCCGTCGAGTTTGCCGCAGTTGTTGATTTGATTAAGGCGACGTATTATTCTGGCAAACTATGCACTCAACGGTGTTCCACAAAAATTTACCAGACTTGTGAAAGCATTTTATTTCATATATCGACAACAATAATAAAAATTGAACATAAATCAACGTAAATAAGATTCTTTTCGACTTATAAATCAGAAACTGATAAGATGAATCAGATAAATTTTCTATAAATTCATCAACGATTCAAGTTTCAGGCTTTGGATCCACTCTCATACTTGATGATCAGGCGAAAAATTCAGGTCCAGCTCAGATGATTTGGAGTCGTCTTTTTTCGTCCGGAGAAATCTCTCTGAAATCGCTGAGAAATTCTATTTCGAAAGAAAAATTCGCATCAACCAGGCTGAAATACGCACAACCTTACTATATGAAATTTGGCCAATATATTAGAAAATTATCTGGCCTAGGTGATGAAAGAAAGCATCGATTCTGGAGGTTGAAACATCTTACTTTAATAACCAGTGCAGCGAGCCAAATCAGCCACTGTGCGAGTTACTGAGAAGAACTATACCAACCCAGGTTTTTCTTGCATCTTCATACAACAAAGACGAGGGAAGTAGCCAGGGAAGAAATGAATTGAAACTCATAGTTTACGATTTCTACTGTCTGATAAATTGTACGCGAAAACAGTAAGCCGCTCTGCTTGTTAGCAGTCGGTCGATCTGCTACCAGTCAGTCTTTTCAGCGAAATTTTTCTACTATAATTACTGTTGTACTGACTTTTTCCTGCTTCCACGCCATGGAGATTTTATAAATTTAGATTTTTTGGTTCTTTTTATATTTTGGGACTCTTTAAGTTTTTTCTTTCGAAGATTAGTTTGTTATCTTTCAGTTCGAAAAAGTTATTAGTTTATTCGTTTTCGCAATAATCATTTCGGTTATGTGGTCCACGCTGGAATTGTAACGGCAAGGCATGAACGATCTTATCTTATTTTATCTTCTCTCTCTTTATCTTATCATTTTAGCGTCATTTCATTTCGTCAATTATAAACGAAAACATATATGCTTTGGGTCTCTTCAACATTTTCTCGTCAATTTTTTCGCCCTTTGTCATGCTCTTCGGAGATTCTCATGAAGCGCAATGCAGATCGGGTAGTCGAAAAGCGTTATCAAAACTTATTAATCCCTGGTTTGGCTTATTACTGCTCCTTCCACGTGTTTCTTTTGTGTGGAAGTTAATTGGTTAGAAACAAAGCAGGGCGTTTGCACATCTCGTATTTCTTTTTTATAACAAACTTATCCATATTAGTAAGGAATCGTACCCATGGTCTTTAGCACTAAGAGGCATATTGAATAGAAATAAGGAATAGAAATAAAATTTAATCCGAGGAGGCTTGTCAGCTTCCAACGATTTTTTAGCTTATTTTTTTCAGCACTATATGCCCTCACCATCGCTGGTTAGACTCGCTCCTCTGGCTTGTCGCACTAGGCAAATGCCAGGGATTCTCTTGGCGATGATATACAGGCGAGTTGGTCGGATTTTTGGAGAACAGGTGTACTTTTCTCTGGAATAGAATTTCTGCATAGGCGAACTGATCAACAGCCATTGCCATGACCTGTTGAGTCATCCTATTCTTTTTTTCCTTTTTTCCGTTAGGCCTCAGTGCTTACTGCATCGGTGGATTCCAAGCCGACCCTCGATTCTCGATGCTAATTACTTGTCACTGGGCCACAGATGCGTGCAAAAAAAAAAAAATCACTTGATGCAGTCTTTTATGTACTTTTTTGTCAAATATTTTATGTGTTCAAGCTGTGTTAATTTTTAGATTTTTAATTTTTAGATTATAGAAATCGGCTAATCGTTCATAATGTTGCTAAAATTGGAAATTTTTTAAGATTCATTCATATATTTATCATTTGTACTTATTTTTTGAGGTTTTAAGGTATTATTTTTCACCTTTTCAGGAAAAATGGAGTCGTTTGACGAAGATTTATTTGGAACAACCGAAGAAACTGTTAGTTTTTTTTCTTGTTCCATAATCTTTTTTTTGAAATTTCGAATTGCGATCGAAGTACAAAAAGCATAAAAGCATAAGCTGGGACATCGAATTAAGTGGAAGTTCGTTAAGATAAACTAAAAGTTAAAAAGTTAGATTTAAGGCCACTTGAAGTCTTGGCAGATTTTTCTTGTAAAATTTTATTTAATTTTGTTTATATTTTACTTTTTTATATCTTTTCCAATCTTCTTCTTTTACTAACTGATTTGGCTCACTCCATTTACGATTAGGATAAGGGCCTGCTAAGTGCTTGATTAGTATCCTTGTTATTCACAAAACAAGGATTTAGAGCATCCTATGATGGGCGATAATGTAGGCGCTATTCGAGTGGAAGTGGATGCAATCATATGATTCACTTGGCAGGAATGGTTAAAGGCAAATGGTTTCTTTATATATTCCACTGATCGACTTTCAGCCATATATTAGGATTCTGCATATTACAGCCAGATAGATACGAAATTTTTGTTTCGAAATGAATTTCCAAATCTGGCCTAATGGCCATTAGGTGTAAAGGAAGTATTTAAGTATTAAGTATTTAAATTTATATTATTTCTATTTATTATTCATTATTCTTCGACTATTGATGAATTTGTAAAAAAACAAATTCTTTATATCTTAACAGTGTCTGGTACATAAGAAAGGCATTTCATCTACATTTTATCTTATTTGGATTGATTTGAAGGCTGATTTTCGCTGACTGACGGCATTTTGCTCTGATATAGAGGCAGTTCCCTGTAATTTCCAATGAAAAGGACAATATGTCAGAGTACTCAAGTTTGCACATGTCGATTGTCGGGAGATTGTCGATATCATGAATGATATTCCAATACCTTTCGTGAAAATTTGGTCAACCATGTCCCGGTCTAAATTAAGCTAAATTAAGCTTAATTATGGCTCTTCCTACTATCACGCTCTGCCATGAGTTTAGAAAGGGGCAAAAACCTTCCCAAAAACATCTAGCAAGCTGATTCCTCGATATTTATAACGGATGTCTTGGGAATCTTGATAATTAGGAGTGGAATTGTTAATCTATTATTCTAGCCACTGCTCTCCACGGATTTTCACTGCCATGTTTTCTGGCCACAAAAAATAGTGAAATATCCTCACGTACTAATATAAACAATTAATTATTTACATTTTTTTGATAGTTTTCAGGTGCTCCTTGGTCATTCGAGTGCTTTATCGACTATCCAATCCCATCGAATTCAAATTTGCTGGCTTCAAATAAGGAGGTTCTTGTTGTTAATTTCTTCTTTTGGTTTGCACTGTAGCATTTCAATTTCCAGTTCATGAATGATCCTGTTAAAAATAACAAAGATATTTTACGTAATGATAAAAAAATGATAAAGAAAATTTATAGGTAACATAGATTTTTTGAGATATTTTTCCCTTCATAAATTATAAAATTTATTATTAATAAAGTGGCTTTTTTTTGTTTTTTAAAATCTTATGCAATATAATGTTATGTTATGTAAAAAGTATTATTTTTTTTGCTTATGCGTGAATCTTTTTAACAGAAAAATTGGTGATTTTTAAGTGTTGCTGATGGAAATTTCCGATTAAATGGGCAGCGCCAGCTAGGAGCAATGCTTACCTATTTTTTTTGCCTTTTCTGTTTTCATCATTTCATCGCACACTATGGTTCTCTACCATCATTTTAGAAAAAGTCATTCATTTCATTCATTTTTCTCGCATTTTACGATGTTCTTTTTTTTCCTTAGCTTCCAATTCCTTATTTTTTTCTCGTTATTTATTATTTATTCACAGATCGCTTTTATGTTTATAACCGAGGTGTTTGCGGAAAAGAAATTAAATTAGAAATAAAAATGTTAAAAATTAGTGGGTTTGTGGTCTTTTTTCTAGAGATATTTAATGCGCTTCTTTGTGGTTATTTCTTTTGCTTATTCTTTTATTATGAACTGTGTACCTCAGTTTTATGGTGATTTATTGGGTCTTGAGGTTCGTCTCACGAATAAATGTTGAACCTGTCATTTTCTTGTTTTCGATTGTATTTGGAATATCAACAACGATAAAACCATTGGTTCTTTATTGGGCTCTTTGCATTGAAATATTTATGGATCCAAAAAATGTAGGAATTCTGGAATTCTTGCTTATTCTTGCTTTTCTTTATTACAGTGTTTTTATTTCGTTACTTAATGTGCAAATGAAGTTTTTTAACCCTAATTTTTAAATGATCAAGGATCTAAAAATTATTTTAAAGGCTAAATTGATATTTATTGCTTATAATGCACAATGGGGTTATTAAAAAACATGCTTTGATAAGAAATGATGCAGAATCAAGATGGTTTTTTTTCTATTGGAGCCCACCTGCTGGTTACACTTGTTCCGCTGGCTTGTCGGAACAGGTAAATTTGTCATTTGATGGTAGAAATACAGATGAAGTCGACAGCATCAGGGATTTTTGTATGACAGGTTTACTCTTGCCAGATGTAGAGCCTCGGCTTTCCCAAGTAAGCAACAACGCACTGAACCACTCTACCCCTTTCGCATCGCTCGTTCGGCGGCATTTCCATCCGATGATGCATCGGTCGGATTCGAACCATTCTTTCCTCGGTGGCAATTATCTTAAAAATGCTAGAATCAAAGAAATTTGTGTTATACGGTATATCATTTAATTGTTTCATTATATCGGTTAATAAATACATTGTATTCCAGGCTACTGGCCAAAAAGTCAAAAATATTACCGTTTTTTGCATGGAATTGCAGAAAGAAAGAAATACGTCAGTATATCTGAATATTGTGGAGAGAAACGTCTCGGCTTTGATAATTTATTCAAAAGTTATTGGTTGCATCCCAATTTTAATCACTTCACCTATTATTGGAACGTGGTCAGATAATTATGGAGGTTTTTATTTTGCTTGGTTTTTTTCATTTGCAGTCAATGAAATTTCAAAAAAATTAGTCGCATGTTATTTGATAATTTCAAGCAATACTTAATTTCTTTTTTTTCTATTTTGAAGGCCTCTTCAACTTTCAAAAAAAGACAAATTGAAGACTTTTCGAATATTTTTGATAAATTTTAGAACGATACTTTGTTTTTTTTTCAAAAATATATTTATTAAATGATTTGCTAAAAGGTTTAATCATTATTATAATGTAATTATTATAATGTAATTTAAATCTCAGATATCATATTTAATCTTGATTTTTAAAACAAAAATTCAATTTTCTTCTTTCTTATTTTTTTCCATTAAAAATTATGTATTTCAGGAAGACGTCGTCCACTTTTGCTTGCTTTGTTCGGTCTATTCATATATACGACTTCTGAATTATTAATCGCTTCAATTTTTGAATTTATAAACATATATTATATCGAAATTTCAGCACAAATTTTAGTCGGATGTTGTGGTGGTGCGACAGCAATTTTTAGTTCTGCCTTTTCTGCTGTATCTGATCAGTCAAGAGATACTCTTCTCAAAGTAAATTTTTAAATTTGTTTTAATTTCTTTTTTTATTTTTGGCTAAAAGATATTAAAAATAAAAAAACGATAATAAAATTATAAGAGGAAGAAACCTGTATGAAATATGTATTCAAAATATAAATATTTCTAGAGAAATGTAATATCTTTACGAATCGTCTGTGCATGTGTTGCTCAATCTTTTGGCCTTATTGTTGGCAGCATTATCGCATCACTTTGTTCTTCGTTTGGATGGATAACAACAATGAAGTTCCACAGTGGTCATATAGCTGCTTATGTTGCAGCAGTCATTGCCTGTCTTTTGGCCATCATTTATACTTTTCTTTCTGCGCAAGAAACTCATTTTGGAGACGGTGAATATTTCAATTTATATTTATTGATTTGTTGATTTACGCTACCTTCAAAAAAAATTAGTTTAAATGAGTTAAACGTAATATCAAATTAATTAAAATTAGCTAAATGAGTTAAAATCAATAGTTTTTTAATTTTATAATCCACAAAGCACCTTGAGAACTCTTATATATGGACTTTTCATTTTTCTCCTTTCTTTTCTATCCCATTATCCCATCGTATTTCCTACTATAATTAAAATTTTATAGTCTGTGCAACTGATAAGTACTATAAGAACATGTTAGATTTAGTTGGCATATTTCCATTTCCATATTATATGTGTTATTTGCATTATCAATATTTAATTTGCACGTGTACTTTTTAATTTTACAACGTTTATATAACATTCTTTTAGCATATACTTCCAGTCATGATGCGATAGTTGATGATAGGATATCAGTGGCAAGCAGTGGTACATGTAGTAAAATAAAAGATTTTTCATTAGAAAGTGTTGAAATTTTATTTAAACGGAGGCGCGGTTGGACAAGATTCTGTTTAAATTTGTCGTTGTGTATCGTCTTTATAGAATTTCTTAGTACAGGTGAGTGAGTGATGGCATTATTTACATGGTGTTTTTAATGTGAGGTTTTTTGAATGTTTAAATTTTATGCCATATATTTATATTAATATCTAAACTGAATTTATTATTGATGTTTATTTATTATTATCACTGTAATCATTTATTCAGGTTTTCTGCGGTGAAATAAAGGTAGAAGAAAATGTACTTTTTCAGATAATCAGTTAATTTTTCTGTTAACGAAGAGGCCTCCGTTCTCGTGGTCCGATTCGCTATTTAGTAACTACTCACTTATAAAAAATTTGCTCTTTTCACTTGGTATAATATGTGTGCCTCTTGTTCTTTCGAAGATAAATTTTTTTGGGAAAGGTAATTAAAATTAAATTTCTCTTAAATTTTATTTCGGAATACGTATGTGCTAATCGATTCTGAAAAGAAGCCCATTTAAGAGATTGTATACATAAATTGTATAAATAGATGCCATGCAGTAAATTTCAATCAGTCAATCGTTTACAAGTCCTTAAATTTTTGATAGTTTTTCAAGCAAATTTACAAAATTGAAAAAAAATCTTTGAAATAAATTTATTTGATATCGGTTAAAAATTGCTTCTATAAAAATATATTCTAGATTCTGCTCTTATAATTATTGGTGTTTTGGCAAACAGTTTAAGTTATCTGACGCTGGCTTTTGCGAAAGAAACAGTTTGGATTCTTATTGGTTATTGTCATTTTTTATTTCCGCTTCAGTTTAGATTCTTGATTGATTGCAAAAAGTATAACTCTTATAACTATAATAGCAAATATTTTAATTATTATTTTTTTCACATCCTTACTTAAAATATATATGAATCTCTTTCTCATCTCCTATGGGTAGCAGTGGGTAGTCAACCTCAACCTCGAGTCCTTCACCAGAGGTCTGGACGATTGAGAATTCTGTGCATTGTCTTAGCTGTTCACTGTGATAGTGCGCTATCTTGGATAGAGATCTCTGGTGTTGTCCTGAAATCTTTCCGTATCTTTTCCAATTTCTCTTTTAAATCCTGGTATTTTTCTGACTTCTTATATTTCTTCTTCCTGTTCCTGTCATTTAGCATTACCATATCTATCAACAGTGCTGATTTCTGATTCTTGTCCACTACCACGATGTCTGGTTGATTGTTTGTCTATCTGTGTGGAGAAGATCCCACAGGATCTTTGTCATATTATTCTCGACAATTTTCTGAGGAATATCCCATTTAGTCGCGGGAAAGTTTAAGCCATATGTCGAGGTAGATATTCGATAGATAATGCCAGCTATTTGATTATGCTTTTTATTGTATTTTGTTCTTGCATTTTACAGCCCGCCACTATGTATTGGACTATGCCTGGGATGTTTTTGTATAATCTGTACCTATAATCTGTTTTGTCTAGTGCGGCAGATCCTTGTTTCGACATCTAGTGCCTATTCTTCTGCTATGACCAATGTCTTATTGTTACCTTTCAGTCCAGCTTTTTCCAACCACTGGTTTATTTCAGCTACCTCAGCTATTTGTCATGGAGGGTTTTGCTTTGCCATGGTACTTCCTCTTCATATATATATGTATAATTTTTTAAAAAATTCGAAATGAAATTTATCGAATTCAGTGTAAGTCCACTCACTATTTCTATTCTGATTAGTAATCAGTGATCAAAATTTTCGTTACGAAGATGATTACAAAGATGATTTCTATAATTTTTCATGACGATTTATACATTCATAACGATTTTAATAAGATTTTTAAAAAAAATATATATACACTAAAATAAGGCTCAAATATAGCTGAGTAGTTAAATATCTTAGTTAATATGGAATGTAACAATAATTTCTAATCGTATCCAGTCCTTTTCCGATGATCGTCCTTAGACGAGTTTCTCTGAAGGCTTGTTTACCTCAAAGGCCTCTGGTGGAAATTGAGGGTGACCAATACTATCCACAGAGGGAGAGAAAAGACAAACTTTAATAAGCCGCTATAGCGTAGTAATTAAGACATATTGTTAATATGGAAGATAACGGTTCTAAATTGCAACCAAGCCTCTCTACCTTTCTGATAGGGTCCTTGAAGAAGGCCGTCTGAAGCTTACTTGCGTCAAATATGGTCGCATATTAGAGTCATTCCTGCTCGGACATCGCCCCGATGAGATCCTCGTTAAATGTTGAGGGAAGCCAGGATCGTTTGATAATAAACTACTGGAATTGCGCCAAGTTCTGTAGAACCAGACTGGGTCAAAAGGGCTACTGGAACAAATCTTATATGGAAAAGACAAGATAATCATGAATTGCTATTATAATATAATATAAACCAAATGAAAGAGTAGTATGATAAAATTGTGGATAGAAAAAAGATCTATACCAACATTAACTGAGAATCTTTTAGTGGCTCGACGTTTCAGCATAGGAAAAAGGAAACTATTTTCTCAAATGAAGATGAATCAACTCTGCGTCTCAGATCGAAAATGGTAGAGAAAGAAAGAAATAAGCTCGGAAGCTGGAAATCGGTTTCAATATCTCCACTGCAAAGTAAAGTAACTGACATGGGGCAAAAAATTATGAATACTGGCTATAATCAAATATCGAGACCGAACACCGAAGCTCAGTGAAGTATCACCAGATAATATACTCGAAGATGCAAATAAAGCCTGCCTTCACAGCAATTTTTATACTACCAATATAACGGAAACCAATGAAATGCACACTATAGCCGCTGTAATTCTCGAAATGCTGGAACATAAAATTAAGAACAACAGTGCATGTCGCCTCTGGAAAAGGAGACTGGAATAAAATTCAGAAAAAAATTCAGAGTAGAGCAGTTAATTAGCTGGCAGAATTATGGAAGAGTATGAAGACTAAGAATTATGCTCAGATGCTGGAAAAAAACAAAGGTTACACTCGATCAGAAGCCTTTGAGACTATTGAACAAAGGCTCACAACACTGGCCCATTAAATTAAAGAAATACATTGGAGAAGCAGAGGCTAAAAAGATAAATGCCCTGGTGTCGGAAAAAACCGAAAGAATTTATTATAAAAAAACTTCTTGAACAAAGGATTCTTCACAAGAATGAGTCAGCTATTTAATATTCAAATCATAGAAATTTATCTTTATTCCTTCCTTTGTATAAATACCACTAATTTGCAAAAAAAAAAAACTACTTTGTTTACAAATTTTATACAGACACATCTTTGGAACAGCTGTACCCTTGAAAAGAAAAAATATATAATTTCTATAGAGTTTTTTATGTAGTTTGCATAATAGAGTAAGCTCAACCCACATATGGCAATATATAAGCTCTTAAAATCCATTCGGAAGAGCTTGTGCAAGCAATAGTTTCCACCACCGAACCTCAACGTTCTCAACATTCTTCGTCCTCAATTTATTCGTCTCCTCAACCCAGTTATTATTGTATTGTTTGCTAACGGTAAATAAAATTTTCCCTTCTGACTCAACAAAATAACGTTTTTTCCGAAGAATGGCTTGTACAATGCATTCAATGCATTAACGACAACTATCATTTCAACTTCTAGAGTAACTTCTTCAAAAAACCGTCCTAGGTATATTCTCAAATTCAGTGCAGTAATATGGTAAAAACAGAGCCACCAATAGCAAAAACTATACAATACTGGAAAAATAGATGGGAGAAAAAGAAGAACCAAAGCACCAGAACAAAGTGGCTTAAGATATGAGAATAAGCACAGCCTCCAAGAGCAGGAAGTAATTGCCATTGTAACGAGAAAAAATTATTTGTATATTCATAATTTATATTCATTAGCATTTCCTTTAAAATTATTGTAGGCTATCGTTTTTCATCGCACCTCAAATTTCGTCGATTAAACCGTTAAATTGCTCAAATAGCATCACACAAGACCGTAAAAATGCCACAAAATAAACGAAAGCCAGATGCATTGTACCAGCCATCCGACTGATAGTTGTCGTTAATCACGATTAAAAATGTTGTAGCTGGAGGTGAGTTCTATGACTTTTGCTTCATCGGACTGCTTACCATTACCATTTCTAACCTATTGAATCGTATTTTGCTCATTTTCAAGCACAACCGTCACAGCTGTCGTGCCTGACTTGACATCCAATAACGGTTCAAAAATTTGAGAAATCTGGTAGCATCTGGTTTGGACATGATCCACATCTACTGGTAAAAGAAGCGGTTCATGAGCACTCAGAAATACAGACGAACGAGCTGTTTGTGATGGGCCCTCATTCATACTGGTTAACAAGAGGAAGAAAGGTATTGATCACAATAAAGAAGCAGTACTGTCCAACTGCCGACCAATAATCTGCCTCTCCACAACATGGAAAATCATGTCAGGTATCATAAGCCATTGAGCTTCATGACCATATGAGCCAGTACAGTTCAAAAAGGTATTGGGATGAATGGCAAAGCCTCTAAATATCAGCTGCTCATAGAAGGGAGTCGCTCAAGACTCAAAATCCCGACAGGCTAATCTATGCACAGCTTGCATTGGCTTTAGCAAAGTCTGATTCAGCATCCCACACATGGATCTCGCCCTATACAAATTTAGGATTCTAAAGACGTTTCATCGGAGATATTTCATTGGTATTGCGGAAAATAACACCTGAACTTAAGTCAGAACATCTCGCACAAGTGGCCATCAAGTGCAACATATTTCAAGATAACGCATTATCCCCTCTACTACATAGATCTAAATCTCCTAATCAGATAATTGATATCACCCATCACAGAGCATCGGCTTCGGTGTTTAGGGCGCATTCTCCGTCGTCCACCACACGACTTGATGCATATTTCGTTACATGCTAAACCATGTGATGAATGACATCAAAAGCGAGATGGGCCAATCAAAGACCTGGATTGATACGGTCAGAAAAGATTTTGAACGTATAAGTGGATCAGAAATATAAGGACTTAGACGATGGTAAAAGGAATGGCTTCTATTAATGTCGATGATTGCATCAGACCGCGCCTTTGGAAATGTCATTCTTGTAGCCCTTGGAACCGGCCTGACCAGTACTGATGAGAGCTGTTAAAAGAAGGAGAAGAAATCAGGTAATTACAATAAGTGGATATGAAATTCAAGAATCATCTTTAGCTATCTTTTCTACATAAATGTTATATGCTAAAAGCATAAACTCACTCATCATCTACCACGAATCTACAGTGAAGACATTGGGATGTCATTCGGATTTAAAAACTGTGGCTGGATGGTAGTAAAGAGAGGAAAGATAATGGCTGATGAGATGAACCTGCCATCAGGTCACTTAGACTTGCTATAAGTGCCTTGCTATCCCACAGTCACACGGCAACCACGATGGGGAAAACTGCAACATTCAAGTATCATCAAAAAATAAAACAATTCTGAAAAGTCAACTCACCTGAGAAGAAAAAGAAAGGCATGGAGACTACGGGCATGAAGATTCCGGAACTCCTCATAACACATGGAAATTTCCACTTCAACTTAGTACGGCTTAGTATGAAAGCCATTGTCTAGAATAAAACCTAAAGCATTCAGGAATACATCAGCAAGATGGCACCAAAGAATGAGTTGCTAAAAATATATGCTTATGAAGCATCTATTGACATTGGAAAAAAACCAAACAAAGGAAAATGGCAAAACAAGACTCTGTGGGATGTACCATCGAAAAATCAGATAAATGAATTGAGAAATCCTACCATTGACCGGAAAAAGTCGGATAAAAAGGTAGCATTGAGGCATAGGAGCAGGCGAGCATCAACACCAAAGACTCTGCAAAAACGCTCCAGAAATAGTCCAAGATATAGTGGCAGGAACGAAATAACGGAAAGGCATAACCAAGTTGCTGGCATCATCAACTGGAATATCTGTTCAGTATATGGAAATTCCCCAGAAAATCGTGGAGAATAATTAGGCCAAAATCTGCGGGACTTCTCCATATAAACAAAGAAGTACTGACCAATCAGCCAGATACTGTTGTAGTAGACAAGAACTAGAAATCAGTGCTGGTGATCCGTACAGGAAAAAGCATGGGAAATTCGAAAAATACCATGGGCTGAAAAATAAACTAGGGATAATGTGGAAAATGAAGATGGTGGTAAGAGCTGTTGTAGTTCAAAGGCTCGAAAAGATTCCAAGAGCAATATCAGAAATCTCTGTCCAGAAGAGCGTACTGCTAGGAACATTAAGATAGTGCGCAGAACAACTTTCAAGGTCCCAGGCTTCTGGTAGAGGATAGAGGATCCGGGATCGAGGATGACTGGTGCCACCCATAAGGGAAAGAGATTTTTTAAAATATTTATTATTTGTTATTTTTTATTATTATTTTTTCCAGCGATTTCTTGCTTTTTCTTTGATTTGATTCACTATCACTACTTCTTTCAGATTCTTGTGCTAATATATCTGTTAAGATTCATTAGTATTTTATTTTCAGGCGCTTTATTTTCCTTTATCACAGGATGTATTTCGCTTGGTTTTCGCTCTTTTCTTCCGAGCTTGGTTACCGAATCAGAAACCGCTAGATTATATACTGCAAGCGGTATTATTCTGGTTAGTTAAATATGACTTGGAATATTTAAAATACATTAATTATATTCAAAATATAAATAATATGTCATGGTTCTTCTCATTCGTTAACATTTTTAATAATTTCAGATAATCTGTCCTTCATTAAATGCCCTTATTTTCAATAATATTTTCAACGCAACGATAGATTTTTGGCCAGGTTTTGTGTTTCTCATTGGTGCTATATTACAAATGGTCGTTGTTTTGGCGCAAATGTTAGTCTTTTTTTCAGGACAAAACATTAGGTTTTTAAATAATCACCAAATAACCGATTGAACTAATAATTTCTAAATATTTAAAATCTTTTGTAAATAATTTTGAATTTTCGACGACAGTAATATTTTGCGTATATATAGCACAGAAATTTTCCAAATCATATTTGAAATATTTCTACTTATGATTTTTTTTTAAAGATTAATTCATTGCTTAATGCGACAACAGTGGAATAAAGAATCAGAAGACGAGGATATTTTTTTCGCTTCTGACGATATTCATTGTTAACGGCTACTTAATTTGCTATTTTTCTCCAATTTTTTCTACTTTAAATTTTTTCATTAGTTATTTTGTATTATTTTTGTAATTGACTTATTACAAATTAAGGTTATTTTCACTGTGTTCTCTTTTACCTTAATGCGTTTAACTTTTTATTTTCATTCACTTTGCTTTGTTATTATTTGATTAATTTATCATTTAATTTTATCACTTGCTTTCGTCACTTTCCATATTCATTTTTTTAATGATTGATGATTCTATTTTTACGATATCTTTTGATTCATTTTCTATTTTTTCGATATTTTTGTAAATCGATCTGTACTTTTATTATTTGTTTTGTATCACTGAATATTCCATTTATTTTTTTTCACTGTTTTTACAATTTCTTCTATTTTTGATTTCAATCAACTTTTATGTGATATTCATTTTTTTGATTGTGTTTTATTATGTCCATTTTTCGAATGTCTCTGATTTATCACTTTTCCAGGATTTTCTTATAGTTTATAATACTCAAGATTGTTTGTTTTGATGGGTCTAAGTGAAATTAAATAAGTTGAAATTAAAAGTATTGTAATTATTTCATTTTGCAATTATTCGGTTCATAATAGATGATTATATCATATTTTAAACATTCCCTCTTAATTTTTTGAAACGGCGGATTTGTTTTATTACTATAATTAGTATAAACATTTGGCGGTGTTTTTTGAGTTAATATTTTTATTCCTTTAGAGAATAATTATGCTTTTGTTGGTATTGTTATAAGTTAACGAAATAACGATGCAGGTGATACGGGTTGATTATTAGGTCGAACCGCTCTTCAATTCATATAATTCTTTTTTTTTGTCGCCGCTTGTTTTCACGAAATATATACTTTTTTTTCACTATTTTTATGAATAATCTATAAAACACGAGGGTATTTTTCTACTGTTTATCGAGTTTGAATTATGGAATTTCTAATAGATTTTATTTTTAGCATTAAATATTTCCGAGTAAATCATCTTTTAAGTTTATAGCTTTTTTCTCTACGAGAGATTGGACGAAATCCGTTGGCGGACCAAAATTTTGCCAGGGAACCACCTGGCGACAGAAGTATGGGTGAATCGCTACCATTACATTATAAGAAGCTTATGATTAGGTAACATTGGCAAAGTAATGGTTGGGACTCAGCACTCCTAGTTAAGATTACCTTACTGTTAATAGTATTAGTGGTGTGTAATTTTTATTCTATTTTATGTAATGAATTCTTAGGATGCAGTGGTGATTTTGTTTTATAAATTCCTGCCGAGTGTGACCTCAAATTTTCGTATAATTTTATTTCTGAAAGTGGGGAATCGTAAAATTTTTCGATATATTTGCATTTGCATCTCATCAAATTGTACGCAGAATTGGTCTATTTTCTGTCGTTATAAATGAATAGTTTACAAAAATTGTCGTGCAGTTGTGGATTTGGCAAAATCGATTGGTCTATGGGATGGGTTGATTTCATATTTTAACTTAGTTCCATTTGGTGAAATCTTGCTAGAGAGTGTGGGAGAGGAAAGTTGGACTCACCTGCATTTTTATCCTACTGAATCTTTGACGAAAGGTTCTGGTGAAAAAGATCGGAAAAGGTATCAGTTAATAAATTTGTGTTTTTGAGATATTATCTCTGCAGTATCTTTATGATACTTTTTATTTTTTATGCAGCATTTTCTAAATTCTAAATTGAGCAAATATATTTTATTCATCCAAAATTTATTCAGAGATTTGATATGATAAGATAGCCTTCAATGTTATTCATGTTATACGATTGGAGTGAATTGTCACTTTTATAAATTAAAAAAGAACCGAAAAGAACCTTAATTAGCAATGCTAGTAACTGCGGCTTACAAGCCGACCATAATTAGACAAATGTTGATTTGCAGTATTTGAGGATTAAAATGTTTAATGGCGCAGAAGCAAGAACTGCATCCATCATTTTCGCATAAATTCATTTTCCTTCTGCAATTTTTAATTCATTAATTCATTTTTAATTCATTTCCTGCTAATTTATTCTCAGTTTGTGGTTAGTTGTGCAATTCTGATGAAAGGCTTCAGTAATGCAATGTGTCCACATAAAGTGAACAGCTAGAAAATTAATAATAATAATAAATAGTAAATGCATTTATGTAATGGCAGACATCCTTTCTTTGCAACATTAGCGCTGGAATTTTATGTTTTTTCTTTTTTACAAAATATAAATCTTGAAAAATTTCAAATTTTAGGCTACTATCTCAGACATATTTCGGAATGACTATTTATTCTTATTTTACTATTATTTTACTACAAACTTTATTCGATCCCCAAATATCATTTGCTTACCCTTGAATATTTTCATGGCCCTTTTAATATTTTCATGGATCTTTATTGAGCAAAATACTTCAGAAGATTCTTCGAGAGATTTTAAGTACTAAAGTGGTTCTACTCGTTCAAGAGATGTTCAATAATCAGTCCCACATTTACAACTGTGTCCTCTTCTATTTTACTCTATTCACTTGTCAGCAGAAGAGCCATCCTAAATATGTTTGCTACATATGGTTTCCACACAATACCATGCTCATCATATGGTCTTGCATAGTTATCATTATGCCTCAAAATTTTCCAGCAAAAATATTAAATATTATTAAACGAACATAATTAATAATGGTCAAATTCATTAAATAAAAATTTAAATTTTTTTATATTTAATAAAATTTAAAGAAGTAATCTCTTCCAAAGTTTCTTAGAATATAACCACCGACGAATACTACCAATTTCAATTCGAGTATAGAGCGATTAAAATGGAAAACTTGAATTGGAAACGAAAATAAATTTTTAAATCAGATTTGTGTTGGGAAAGGACTGGAAAATGCGGCTAACTACTAATGCCGATAACTACTAATGTTACTCGAAGCATGGTACTTGAATCAGAAAACAGCGAATCCTCCACAAATACTTTATGATACTTTGTTTTTTTATAAATTAAAAACATATGCCTGCGATGACCTGGTCTGCCATATTATAAAATGTAGAATATGTAGATGACCTTTTCCATAAATAGCATGCAAGTGACCAAATATATAAACATTATTGCTAGACAACCATGGTCTTCTTATTAAACAATAGTTGCAGTGGATGTACCACCAATTTTCATTGTTCAGTCGCGAACTTTCACTGACCTTTTTCTCAAATAAAACGTGTATTCACAAAATATAAAAAAGGTTTTTAGCTTTTTTAATGAACTGGAATACATAATAAGAATGAGATTAAAACTTGTTCACATTGATTAATGAGTGAGAGTCGATCATAGTTGTGCCATCATCGCCGAGCGATGATGTGAAACGAACCGTAATTAGAGAAAAGCTCTCGACTGCACCAATTGAGGCCAAAATCTTTAATTTTTTATTCGCTAGTTCGTCAAATTTCCGTGAATTTATATTTTTTGGTATTAACGCAGCAAAATGAATAATTTCAATTCATAAAAATTCATAAAAAAATTTTAATGATTAATAAATTAATTGCAAGTGATGATGTGATTCACCTATACTTCTATCGACAAGTGATTGATTATCTTGCAAAAATTTTTCTGGCCCTGGAAGCCAGTAAAGCGAGTCTAACCAGAAATGGCAACCACTCACAAAAGTGGCAAAGTGCTTGGAAAAAAGTGAATCGCACAGTATATCTGATACTCGGAGCGGAGACACCATCTATACCCATATTCCCAAAGATTATTCGGCGAAAGTCGCTTGAAACATCAAAACCAGAACAAATGAATGTGAATGGTAAGTATAACATTTTAATTGAATTAATGAATTCAATATTAAAATATTCTCGGTTTAAACAATTAAACAAATTTTAGGCAAATACAGTAGAAATTTCGTCCATTGAAGGTTAGATAGTCATTTCGAGCAACATGGCTCAGTCCACATTCTCATTCGTTAGCGAATTCATTGCCTTTTGCGATCAAAATCAGTAGAATTAATAGAATTTTTTAATGACTTTTCTTCCTAAGCAAAATTAAAATTTTATGGTTGATGGATTATTATTTTTCTTTATTTTTTCAACAAAATTTGCTTAGATGGATTCAAATGAAAGCATTGGATTTCAGTACCATGAGAATTTTACAAATAATAGGAAATCACCGAAATCACCAACCATAAAATCTTTAGCCAGTCCCTCCACAGAAGTTTTTACAAATAGGAAATCACCGAAATCACCAACCATAAAATCTTTAGCCAGTCCCTCCACAGAAGTTGTCGATAAATAAAGTTCTTGGCATCCTGCACACCAACAAATATGTAATTAATGATAATTGAAGAAAATTCGATAAGTTTATGGGATTGCAATTATACAATCAATACGGATTAACTGTGGTTAATAATTTTATCGCCCGCCAAGGAGTAAGGTGAAAACGCTGCGGGAAGTCTCGAGATTCCATTGTGTTTAAATGAAGCGATCTAAAATCTGCTCGGTGATGAACTTTCAGACGAGTCTATTTTCTCTTGAACAATAGATAGTATAGCACGGTCAGCGCCCTCGAAATGCTAATTTCTCTAACTACAGATCATTATGGTTTTAATTGTATTTGATGATAATCCATCATCATAATTTTGTTTTTTCAAATAACTATGCATCACACATTAATTTACCTAAATTTCCAAAATCATTAAATTATTAAAACTAATGTGGTCCGTATCATTTATTAATCAAGTTAATTAAATCTGCTCTAAATTTTAGAAACAATTTTTCGATTATTTTCTTATCATTAATCTACCTATCAGATATGCATTAAGTATGGATATAAGCTGAAAAACTTACTTAGGGAAATTTTTGTTCCAAGTTTTGAAACTTTAAAACCTTATATCTTGTTAAAAAATCTGGAAAAAATATCTGATGATATAAGAAAATTTCTTTAGATAGTTCCAAAATCGGATAAAAATTATAAGAATGGATTACAACCAAATCAGAACTATTTCTTCCTATCTAATTATTAGCTTAAACTATTTGAAATT